TCTTCTACCATTTCAAATCTGCTCCTCAGCCCTTCTATGACACCGTCTGTTTCAGAAATCTTGTTGTTTATCTTTTGGATTTCTAATTGTTGTTTTTGTGTAATTTCTAGTTGTGAATTTATTTTGGCATTTTGTTCCTGCATTATTTTCCTGAATTCTTCCTTTTTTTTGTCTGTATTTTCCATGAATTTGTCTGTTTTTTCCTCATTTTTGTCTGCTTTGTGCTTCAACTCTTGGAGAATTCTGACTATTAGAGATTTGAATTCCCTATCAGGTAGTTCTAGTGCCTTTTCTTCCACTGGAAAGTCATCTGTTGTTTTATTTTGGACGCCTGCTGGCGCCATTCTGTCTTGTTTTTGTAAATGTTTGATATTGTCTGCTGTCTTCGGGGCATTCAGTAGTTATTTTTCTCATTTATTATTTAGAGATTTGTTTGTTTTGTCCTTTTTTTTTCATTTGGCTATGTCTGAGCAGGTGGGCTGTGTGTTCTTTGTTGTTTGCTCGTCTGTGGGCACGATACGTTTCATCTCCTTCTCCAGTTGGCAGTTTCGGTCGCTCAGATATGGTACAGCAGGGCAGGTCTAGCTGAAGAGGAGTTACTGGGACAGGTTGTTTGTGGCACTTACTACAGCCACCAGGGCGGGTTGTTAATCAGTGAAGGACAGGTTCCAGTAGGCCTTGCCTGTGCTGCTTTGTGATGTAATGTTAAGCGCATGGTGCAGGTAGGCACGATGTAGGGGGAAGATTGTTATGTGTGGAGCTAAGATGGATATGGGAGAGAGGAGAGAGGAACAGGAGCTAAAAACATACAAACAAACAAAAAAGAATGCTAGGGGAGCTTGCTGTTGGAGTGGAGAGATGAGACACTATGAAATGGAGAAAAACAAAAAGGGGAAGAAGAAGGAAAAAAAAGAAGAAAAAAGAAAAGAATGAATTAATAAAGGGAAGAGAACAGAAAATTTCCCAGGGATCCCACCAGTGTGGGTATGAGTTCTGGGGAAGTTGTTCTTAGGTGTTGCGGTACAGCCTTGCTAGAAGGCATAGATGTATTCAGCACCAGGTATTCAGGGAACAGAAAGAGAGGAAGGTATAGAGAGATGAGAAACTGAGTAATGAAGAAAGACAAAAGAGGGAAAGAAAACAAATCAAATTAAAAAAAAAAAAAAGAACAAGAAGAGCCCCCCCCCCAAAAAAAACAGGAAAAAAAAATGAAAAGTGAAAAAAAAACCCACAAAAAAAAGAAGTGCACTCAGGGATCCCTGTGCGCGTTTGTGCAAGCCGAGGGTGTAGGTTCCAATCCATGCAGCACCGCCTGGCCAGAATGGGCTCCCAACTCAATAAAAGGAAAAGAAAACCAACAATTCAAAAGAAACAAAAGCCCCGGGATCCCACCAGCATGGCAGCCCAGACCGGGAAGCAGTTCCACACTCGAACGGAGCTCTGAAGCCCCTCAGGAACAAGCAAAGATGGCACATGGAGCCCGGTATTTGAGCGAAAGGAGGGGGAGGTGGTGAGAGGTAAGGAAGAAATCAAAAGAAGTGGAAAAAAAGCAACACCAGCAGCCAACAGATGGCACTTAGGGAGCTAGCTAGTGCGGGTGGGTGGAATCCAAGCAGCCGGTGCTTCCCGGATAAGACACTGTATCTGCGGGAAGCAGAGGAGGCCGAGTGTGGGTGAAAAAGGGTGGGGGTTGGGAAAGCTATATCACAAATTCCCGGAGCTCTGCAGCCCCTCAGGAAGAAGCAAAGATGGTGCATGGAGCCAGGTATTTGAGCAAAAGAGTAGGGGAGGTGGTGAGAGGTAAGGAAGAAATCAACAGGCGGAAAAAAGCGATACCAGCAGCCAACAAATGGCTCTCAGGGAGTCGGCCAGTTCGGGCGGGTGGAATCCAAGCAGCCAGTGCTTCCCGGACAAGAGTCTGTGGCGGTGGGAAGCGGGAAGCAGAGGAGGCCGAGTGGGGGTGAAGAAGTGTGGGGGGTGGGAAAGCATATATCGCAAATTACCATTGTTTTGTCTCCCACTGGAAGCTCCATGAAGCTGCTTTCTCCTACCCCGTTTGCTGGTCTCCGAAAGGAGTCCAAGATGGTGGATTTGCGCTGCGTTAGCTGGTAGGGGACCTCTGCATGAATCTCTCCTCACTCTCCGTTCTCTGTCAGTTTTGTCACTCCATTTGGTGCTTGGCTGAGTTCTTTATCTCTTGATTTGATGTTTCAGGGTTTCAGGATTGTTGTTTTCTCTGTTCGGCTTAGTTTTTCGGATCTTTGCTGTGGAGGGACGGCGTGGTGCTTCTGTCTAGAGCGCCATTTTGCCGGATGTCTGATACACATATTTTTTGGGGATACAATTCAACCATGACAGTCAGGAATAGGAGGCGGATATGGAATGTGTGACGAATTGCCTCTATGAACAACTGCCTCCTTTGCCATGCATGAGAGCAGAAGAACGGGATGGTGCCCAGCTACCATTACTGAACTTTTCGATCAAAGATTCTATAGAATAAGCCCGCTTAAATGGGGAGAATGCAGAACAGAATTTCAAATTCTCATGGACTTCAGACTTTCTGGAGCCATGAAGGTTGGACAAACCCCTGAAACTATTGCCTTGAGATATCTTTAAAACTTAACAGAAAATATTCCCTGAAGTTTTCTTAAAACCAAATAATAGTTTAGCTTAACTAGTAAAAAGGTCTGTCTTGAGCATTATGCTCTTTTAAGAACTATCTGTATGGGATCAAAGTGACAACAGCAACTCGAAAGATTAGATATGAACCTTAGGGGACAGTGAGTTTATGTTAATGGAAGAGAAAACTCAGAAAAGGAAGGTAAGAATGGTTGCACAACTCAGAAAATGTAATCACTGTCACTGTACATGTAGAAACGGTTGAATTGAGGTATGTTTTGTTCTGTATATTCTCAACAACAACAAAATCAATTAAAAAAAAACTTTCAATAGTCCTGTGGTGCACTTGAGCCAAAACCTGGACCCTCGGCTCAGCTGTGCCAAGGGTGTACCTTGAATGTGCTCTGTGCTCTGCTCAGCACTAAGTGCATTTGTGGGCTGTGCTTCCAGGAGAACATTGGAAGCTGAACAGGCTTGTGAGAGAATCCACGTCATGTTGTGTGTAAACTTGTTCATTTAACCCTCCCAGGTTTTTTCTTTTTCTTTTTTAACATGACCTGCTCCTAAATCTCCACCATTTGTACCTTGCACATGTGAAATATTTTAAACCTAATCACAAAACTTGACATTTATTCCGGTTAGGTTGTGCTGGTGTTGACCTGGCATTCTGGTGGGTCGAGGTAACCCTGGCTTCATGCTGTGTCTTTCCTGGGTATGACTTACATTCTCTGTGCAGTGCTTGTGTGGAGAGGCACTGAGGCAAGGCCTGGTGTGCCGCTGTCAGTGTGGATTCGCCTTGCCGTGTGGAATGCAAGTTGCAGAAGGTGTCTTGAATTGATTTGCACCCTGGGGGAGTGTGGCACGGTGAGGCATAGTGTGGGACAAGCACCGTGAGGTCAGGGGGACCTAGGCTGAATCTCGGCCCTGCCTCTGATGCTCTCCCTGCCCCTGAAGACGCAGTGCTGTTATTAGGGGTGGGTGTGGTCAGATCTGCTCATGTCTTCCGAGTTAAACCCTCCTCACCCTGTGCTTCCCTTCCAGCTCTTCAGTCAAGAGACAGTGATGAAGTTTGTGCCACGGTACAGCCTCATCCTAGAACTCAGCAACAGTGGGGCCTTCCAAAGAAGTCTGCATGACCCCAATGGCCTGGTGGCCTCGTATGTCAGTGAGGCACATGAACATGATGGACACCTCTACCTGGGCTCCTTCAGGTCCCCTTTCCTCTGCCGGCTCAGCCTCGAGTCTGTGTGACCAGCTGAGAGCTGCCCCGAGGCCAAGCCAGGCAGCATCTCACTGGGACCTCACATCAGGGCTGTAGTGCTGAGCAGGGGCCCTGGGTCCAGGAGGAGCCATGGGCACATCTCTGTCCTGTGCCCGTCAGTCCTCACATGTGTGCAGGGACTGCTGCTGTGTCCCTTGAGGTGTGAGCCCCTGAGCGTCGCCCTCACCCGGGCTTGACTTTGTATCTATCTGCCATGGGGAAGATAAATCCATGTAAAGCCATTTTCTCTTTAGATAAAAACGCTTTCTCTGTCTAGCAATTCTCGAGGAGTTGGGAACACCATGCACTTTAACCAGGGCTCAGGGTTTGGTGGTTGGAGCAGTAGACTTGCTGCTCAGGGGTCTTGTTTTGGCTGTTGGCTCTGTCCTGCCAGCCTTCATGTCTTCACTATAAAATGGGCAGTGCCTTTCTTTGGGGGAGGGGAGCACAGTGCCAAAGTGCGTTGAGCTTAGTGGCAGTAGCTGTGCAGGTGAGGAGTTTAGAACTCTGTTCTTGAGAGTTGTGCTGAGACCTGGGCCCTTGGTCCCCAGGGCCCCCTTCCATGCAGAGGAGGGTGTGGTTCCCACCCCTCCGCAGCCTGCTGCAGCTCAGCCCCCTCCATCGCAGAGAGTTTCAGGGATCTACAAGTCAGTGCAGATGAAAAGCATGTTTATTCCAACAGCTCTGCAAGCGCTTTATGAGTGTCTGTAAACTCACTGCTGCCCCAGAGTGGGGTGATCCAGTGACAGCACTGCAGGGTCAGTTAGGAGAGGCCGCTTATGCACCTTTGTTCTTTGTTCACCCTAGGCCTGCAGACATGAGTAGGGCCCGGCGCATGGGAGTGTCAGGCCCGAAGTTGTTGAATATCTTGACAAGTATGTCTACCCACTCGTCGTAAGTTTATCAGGGAGACCCACGTAATGATGATCATATTAAATCTGTTTTTCTGCTGCCTCACTGTTTTTGATGGTGTTGCCTGGAAGTGTCTTCTCTAGTTTAATATTCTTATTTTAGCAGTGACTAGAAATTTCATTCCTCTAGTGTTGATATGGAGATTGTTTTTCGTTAGGGTTTTGTATTAGTGACAAATGATCCATTCGATTTGCTCAGGAAGACAACCCACAGGATGCACACACAGCTACCGTCTTCCGGCTCTGCATCTCCCAGTGTTGAGTTATTCTTGAGCAAGTTAATAGTACTTTTCTCTCCTGTTTTCCAACCTACAAAATGGGGTTCTTCCTTGGGTGTTTATGAAAATACACCAGAGATTGTGTCTCTGGAAGTATTTTAAACTTGACATAGACAGTATTTTTAGTAGGTAGTCATGTTAAAATCAAAGATGAGTGGCAGCTGTGGTAAAATCTGAACCTTTTGTGTCTTGTTGCACTGGCTAGTGTTCTGCCCCTGTGGACCCTTTCCCAATACTGCCCCCATCCCACCCTGGTCAGGCCTCATCTGAGGGGAAGTGGGTGCCAGGAGTCTTGACGGTGGGTTAGTCTTATTGCCCTAGCCTTCTCAGGGCTGGTGCTGTGTGGGCAGCACCAGCCGAATGGATTCAAAGATGGGCTTCAACCTGGTCGATACAACCTGTGTTGTAGCAAATGAACAACTGTGAATATTGTTTTCATGACTTATATGTAAGAAAACTGAGTAGTCATTATTAAATACATTTTAATAGCTAGTGGTGTGCTTCATAAATCAGGAATACAAGAATAATAAGGCAATACCTGATCATTTGATCATAAAGTCAGTTCAGATGTGCTGGGCCTATAAGTTCACATTTTGGATCTCCAACTGAGAACAGAGGAGTTTGCGTTTAGTGCTCAGTTTTCACCAGTACAGAGAAGCTGGTAAATTCGTTTTCACACTTTGCAGCAAAGGAGTCTTGATTTTGACTCTGTTGATTTTCTGTCTCAGAAGTGTCATTTCCTGTGTTCTGTCTGGTAATTTGGCCTGGTAAGGTGCAATATGCAACCTTTTTGCTCAGTTTAGATGGGTGATATGCTTTTGCTGTATACATTGAAAGGGTTTGTTGTAATGTGAATTATTAACATGCTTTTTAAATTAAATCAAGTGATTCATTGTGTGCCTCTTTATTATCTGTTGCAAAAACTCCTCCAGGATTCTGTTACCACCTTTCATAGAGCAGAGATCCCCATTTTGAGATTTTTATTATCAGTGTAGTGATACTTGCAGAGTAGTGCAATGGTTTCGAAAATTTTTTCACACCTGCTGACTCTTGCAGTGGTGCAAGGAAGTACCGTCTCATTCTACAGATGAGAGAATTGAGACTTAGAGGGGCTAGTGACTTGCCCAGAGTCATGGGCCAGCATTTCTGAGGCTGTGAGGCCAGGCAAGGTGACATGTCTGGATAGCCCGGTTTTTCGGAGAAGCCTGGCTTGCTGTCTGCTGGTCTGTATTTAAATAGAGATGAGAGTAGACTGGGAAATAAGAGTGGGCCTCAACCTTAGTGTGCTGCACTACCTTGCAGAGGTCACCTGGCCCCTTTCACATGTGCGCTGAGGCCCTTCTGGCCCTGAAACCGTGTCTGTTGATGGGTATGGGCATGTTCATCTGTTATGGCAAGGGTTACCTTCAGGGGTCTTAGGAATCACTGAATAAGTTAAAAGGTCCTATGGCCCAGTTCTTCACCAGCCCGTTACTGTCGACTCAGTTCCAACTCACAGCGACCCTATAGGCAGAATAGAACTGCTCCATAGGGTTTCCAAGGAGTGGCTGGTGGATTCCAACTGCCGACCTTTTCGTTAGCAGCCAAACTCTTAAACACTGCACCACCAGGGCTCCGGTTTTTCACCGCCATCCCTAAATTAAATGACCAGAAGGAGGCAAGTCAGGGGGCTTTCTGGGAGTAATTGGTAGTCTTCAGGCTACTTCGTGAGGGAGACCCCTTGCAGTGCTCACCTCTCCTCTTAACTCTGCATTTAAAGGTAAAGCATATAGTCATTGCTTTTGAGATGGTCAATTCTTTATTCATAACTTTATCCATGAAAGGGCAAGATGGTCAGTCACAGACTTGGCCCCCACATGGTGCTCAGATCAATGGATGGATGTCTTGGCTCTTTTATCATGAGCCTGGGGATCAGTGGACAGTCAGGAGGGCCACACACACAACCTCTGCAGGCGTCCAAGACTCATGCCCCCTGGGCCATCTCCCTACTCAGATAATTCCCATCGGATACTCAGTCTCATGTTCATACCCATGTTTAATCTAGTTATTGGGTGGTCTAAACTGTCCCATCTACTCTGTCCTGAACCCACTTGCCCTTCCTTTCTGCTCACTCATGAAATCCTGCTTCGGGAGTCTCCAGTGTCTGGTAGCCAGTAATGAAGCTATGACGAAAAGTAGCAGAGGGACATGCTGCATGCTTGTCACAGCTGCAGTCTTGTGGAAGAGAAGGATGTCAGTGACAGAGGAGAACAGGCACTGAGAACTTGTGGAGCCAGGGAACAACCCAGACCTCAGAGTAGCAGCAGAATGTCTGTGAACAGAGAAGGAGCAGAGCTGAAGTTTGCCTGGCTTGCACCAAGGTCGCCCAGCCTACTAAACGCAGCCTCCTGGCAGGCATGTTCCCCGGAAGCTTCCCAGGGCCTCTGGCTGTGGGACACTGAGCCAGCCACTGGAGTTGTGTGTGCATTTTCCTTACTGAGGGGTTCTATGCCCCCTCCTCCCAAAGTTTTATTATGAAAAATTTCAAAACTACAGAAAAGTTGAAAGAATGGTTAAAGATTCTATACCTTTCACCTATGTTTACAAATTGTTCGGTTTTGCCACATTTGAGCTCTTGCATGTTCTCTGTATATGTATCTATATAGTCCCAGAGCCATGCAGGTATATCTGGAGATACATAGTCACAGAGACATGCAGGTGTATATGGAGATACATAGTCACAGAGACATGCGGGTGTATATGGAGATACATAGCCACAGCCATGCAGGTATA